CAGCAAATCGTGACACACCTCACATCCACTCATATCATCATCTGTTTATGAATCCAAACACATCCAGAAACAGAAGAAATTTACCACAACAATCTGATTACTTGGAAATACTACCTTCTTCATCATCAACTTTAGGAAGAATCCCAGTCTCCTCATCAAAGTCAGGAAACTCTTCTTTGGAAAGCACATTAGCTGCAATCATCTGGGGAAGGAATGAAAGAACAGGAATTTGTTCCCATGAATGAACACCACTCATGCCAACAAGGTTTTAGTTCTAAAGATATTGTCCAGACTTGTAAATTAGGAGGAAAGGAATGAACAGTCCCACGTTCTGGCACACATCTCCCCGAGCCACTCACTCTCTGAGCAAATAATCCTTTTGTATCCTAAATATCAAAAGTGTGGAACAGCTGGCGCTGGCTTATGCATGACAGGACTGCACTCATAATCAAAGATCATCTTAAGTGTCACAGCATAAAGACCAGGATCCCACCGAATCACAGAATAATTTAGGCTGGAAGTGACCAGAGGTTATCTAGTTCAACCTCCTCCTCAAAGCAGGGCTAGCTTCAAAGTTAGAACAAAGCTAGAAGCCCCAGATAGCAAGAAAGCAGTGATTCAGAGATAAGGAATAAGTTAAACAAACAAACTAGGAGCTGTAGCTTAGTTCATGAAACTCACTAGCAATTATACTGACTGGCACCCCATTTGACTCAATGCAAAACATACCTGTTTTATTTCCCATTTCTCTGGGTCTGAAATGCGGGTGAGGCGTTTCCTTTCAAGGGTATCGTCCTCCACCTCTGGAGCATTCACCAGGGAAAGGTGACTGGGTCTGTCTGGGTTCCTCATAGAGGTTTCTTCATTGGTTTCTCCAATCAGATTTCTCCTCCGATTTGGGTTCAAGTCTTCCCCAGTGTCTTGATCAACATCCTACATTAGATTGATTAATCAGTCAGCTCTACCTATATTGCACTTCTCCTTATCTATTAACCCTGCCTGGTACTTCCTCTAACACAGGAGTAAAAGCGCAGTTCATTTCTCAGACAGGTTACTGTCAAACACAGCCCATATACAGAAAATGAGAGTTTGCATACCAGTTGTTTTAAAAAAAAAAAAAAAAAAAAAAGTCTCCAGAGGTGAGTGTACATCCCAAGGTCTGGAATATAATCTGCCTTGGCAATGGCACTGTTTCATTTAAAATTAAATGATTCTCTAGTTCAGAAAAAGGAAATCAAGCATAAAAACAGCATAAGGTCTGTCTTATCACCTGGCTAACATGTCAAATCAACCACTTCATTTGGTTCAACAAACAAACAAACCACTAAGGAAAACGAGTGAAAAGTAATAAGCCACTTAAAAACAGAAATATAACTTAAATGTTTTAACTCTCATTTGAAGGGTTATGTATTAGTTTTCAGTATTACACAAGGCAAAAATAGATGTAATCTTTATAAAAGGTTAGGCACCACATGAACTCTCTTTTAAGGACTATGGACTATCTTCCATACCTTCATGCTCAGGCTGGTTTTGGATCCAGTAAAAGATAACACTTTGACTTTTACTCTTTGTCCTTTGCTCACAACATCAGCAACGTTGGCAACCCGTCCTTCTCTTCGAAGCTCAGAGATGTGGACCAAGCCCTCCCAGCGCTTCCTACAGGTGAAATAGGGGCATGAGATGTTGGATATTATTATTCAAACAGCTTCTAACATCCTTCAGAGTCTGGTTTAAAATATTTTGCTGTCAACCAATTTTTGTGTATGTTCATAAACTGCTTTTTTTGAAGAAAGCATTCTCCACTGTCAAATTTATTTTTGTGAAATAGAACTTAATTTTAGCATCAAAACTCAGCTTACTTTATAGTAGCATCCTACACTCTTTAAGATATTAGCAGAGAGCAGAACACAGATGGAATAAGATGAAGGTGAAGATCAGAAGGTACCTTAGTCCTTCCAGCTGCACAAAGCATCCAAACTGCATTATACTTGTCACTTTGCCATTGTAAATGTCGCCAATGGAAGGCTCTTCAGGTGGTGGACGGTCCACATGCTTGTCTCTCCATCTATCATTGCTCTTCTCGACATATTTCTCTCGATCCTTACGGTCCCTGCTGGGACTCTGACTCCTGCTCCTTGAGCGGTATCTGGATTTCCCCCTGTTCTTGTCCCAAGTCCTAGAACGAGACCTAGAACGAGACCTGCGTCTTCGCTTCCTGTCCCTGCTGCGGCTTCGGCTCTTCCTCTTTTTTTTCGCCCTATCAAACAAACATTAGACGTCTACACTGAAATTCTGCATAAGAACACAGTGGGTAGACAATATGAACTGCCTGTACCCATCCCCTAAAGACATACTAAAAACCTACCGGTGGTCACTGTTCCTTTGCTTGCCTTGCCTGTCGGCACTAGGCATTAGAGCTTCAAGTTCTTTAAGTGCATCAGCTGCCACTTTCACATCATCTTCATCCAACATATTCTGCAAGGACAGAGAACCATTCTGTAGGAAGGCTGATAAGAGTCTGTCACAAAGAATTAACCTACACAAAGAATAATCATGTGCATTTCTGTTTAGAATTAATATAGGATAAAGAAAGATCAGACAGAATACATGATATAGAAAGAAGAAATGATATTATTAAAAAAAAAAAAAAAAATGCTTCCTCCCATTTTGCCATAATATTGTGCCAATTCCGCTTTTACAAAAAGAAGAGTTTTATCTCAACATCCAAATTATTACCGAAATACAAAATACAAATTCCTGGTATCATTTTAATGTCCAAGATTTTCATCTAGTTCATGATTAGTTGCTCTAAACATTATGTCAGAAAGGCCAGGCTACAAATTTCACATCACAGGAGCCTCATCTTTCAAATATCCTGCAAAATAGCATCAATGTGGCAATTCCTGTAACAGCAGTTCCTGATAACTACATCCAATAATATCAGCCTTCTGCTTCTTCTGGGTTTCATTTCTCATGGTCCATTTTTATTCATGCATTAGCAGGAGATACAAATGCTAACATGAATACAACTTGAAACTAGAGAACAACTGCAGAAAATAAGTGTTATGTTTCCATACACTCATGAGAGAAATCTGAAATTATGACCTTACCCTGATGTTGGGGTTGTCTGGCCTGCAAAGGGCTGGAAACAATTCCTTCAACTTTTCTTTCTCCGATTTGGGTTTGACAGCTGCCTCTGATTTTGAGATTAAAACAGACACACACAAAAACCTTAGAAGTGCTATAAGGATTTGCCCTTGACATTTGTGAAGCTGAATATAAAGTTTAATTTTCATCTGAATGCAAAGATTAACACAGCTGTCACAGATTAAATTCAAAAATTACAATGTTATCTTTCTATAAATGATATTATGATTAATAGCAAACCTGTGAAAAACATAAATGCTCTAAATACTGTACTCAACATGTTTTCAGTGCCACAACAGCTTTGCAAGCCTACCACTAATAACAGAGAGAAATCCATTACAGCAATAGGATATGTATTGTCCTACAGGACTAGAACAATAACTACTTTGATCTGACCAAATATGGCCAAAAGCTACAAAAGGCAAGTTTTTTTTTTCTACTGAACTGATGAGAGATAAATTATCTATACCTTTGCTTGTAGATGGTTTTGATGGAGGCCGCATTGTCTGTATGAGACGTAGCAAATTACTCACAAGGGAATCCTGCAAAATTCAGGAAAACACTTTATTCTGATAAGCAACTTCAATGCTTTTGTTCATTAATATAGGGCTCAAGAGAGGGTTTGTTAGGAGGACAAAAAAAGCTCAATGCTGAAAATGCAGGCTTTGTTTTTTAAAAAAAAGCTTCACGTACAGCCTAAAACAAATATAATAACTTGGATTTTAAAGTGATTATGATAATTCCATTTAACTGATTTTTCCACTCATCACTTTTCTAATCACCTACTTAATCCAACTACAGTAATTGCTGAGGAACACAGGAAGATGGCATCTAAATATCATAGAAAGACTTCTGCTAACACTTGCCTTCATGACAAGGTGTTTCTTCCGTATTTCACATGCTCAGCAATCAGACAATAAACACTTCAAGTAAGGCCTCAGAAGGATGCTTCACAAAGACTATGAGTGTTCAGAAAGAGGAGGAGGAGGAGGGGTAGGAGAAGGCTTGATCAGATAGGTATACTCAAAAGCTATATATTTGCATAGTTTTCCAGTTTAAAAAAAAATCAAAAAAAAAAAAAACCCACACCTCTCTTTTAAAACAAAAAAGGCTCTATAAAATATGCCAGGTCAAAAATGTACAAATAATGTCTAGCTCTCACTTACAGTGAACTCAGCACCATTCTTTAGAAGAACAGCTTTAAATGTGTCAAACGTAGTGTTTTTCTCAGCAAGATTTATCACAAACTCGGCTGTGAAGAAAAAGTATAAAGGAAATCAGAGCAAATAATTCAAAGGCAGCGTAGGCGCACGTTCTGGTAAGAGCTGTTCTGGCGGCAGCCCAGGGCTCTGCTAGACCTATCCACCCACAGCAGCGCTTTCCTTTCCGAGCCCCTTCGTGGGAGCCCAGCTCCAAGCACTTTCTCGCGCTCGCGACAAGCTTTCTGAGGGAAGGTCCCCTTTTTTCCTCAACCCGAGAAGCCGCTCGCAGAACAGGCCCCGGCCGCCGGCCGCGCCGGGACAGGCCCTTCTCCGCGCCCCCGGGGCCGCCCCGCTGCCGGCTGGCACCGGCCGCTCACCCAGGTCCTTGTCGTTGATGCCGAGGTGGTTGTCCAGCTCGGTGCACACCTTGGAGACCAGCGACAAGTACTCGAGCTTGGCGAGCTCCTCCCGGGCC